AAAAAAAAAAAAAAAAAAAAAAAAAAAAAAAATATATATATATATATAAGATAATAAATGTGTTGTTTTAAGCAACTAAGTTTGTAATCATTTGTTAAAGCAGCAATAATACATGGTAGGTATCAATAAAAATTGTTTACATGAAAGCACAAAGAAAGCTAGGAAGTATGGGTTTAACTTCCTATCTCTCAGGAAGTATCAATAAGGAATTGTCTCTATCTTTGTTCTTTGCAATGATTCTTGTACTTTTGAGCCTAATTACCAAAAGTACAGAGAATCAATACAATGTTCTTTTTGTTGGCTAAAAGAAAGTTTTGCTTAATTCTCCTTTGATAAAGTATGCTGGCACCATATCCCAAAGAGAACTGTCCACTCTGGTCAAAAGTTTATTTTACAAATACTTGTTTAATATTTTTTCAAAGGAGATAAACAAACAGCCAATAAACATATGAAAAGATACTATCACTAATCACTAGGCAAAAGCAAATCAAAACCACAATAAGATACTATAAAATAATAAGATACAAAAGATACACCCACTGGGATGACTGTTATCAAAAAAACAATTAAGGATTGGCAAGAACCCTTGTGTGCTGCTTGTGATAATGTAAAACAATGCAGCCGACTGGGCTCTGTGGCTCAGCCTGTAATCCCAGCACTTTGAGAGGCCGAGGCAAGTGTATTGCCTGAGCCCGTGGGTTCGAGACCAGCCCTGGCAACTTGGTGAGACTTCATCTCAACAATAAATTTAAAATTAGCCAGGCACGGTAGCGCACATCTCTAGTTCCAGCTACTTGGAAGGCTGAGGCGGGGGATGGCCAGAGCCCAGCAGGTCGACGCTGGGGGAGCTGTGAGTGTGCCACTGCATCCCAGCCTGGGCGATGGAGTGAGACTCCAAATCAAAAAAAAAATAGTGCAGCCACTGAGAAAAATGGTATGGCAGGTGCTTGAAAGATTGAACATAGAATTATATGACTCAGCAATATACCCTTCTGGATATATACCCCCAAAATTGAAAGCAGCTGGGTGTGGTGACTAACGCCTATAATACCAACACTTTGGGAGGTTGAGGCAAAAGGATTGCCTGAGCTCAGGTATTCGAGACCAGCCTGAGCAATACGGCGGGAACTCGTCTCACAATAAATCCAAAAATTAGCCAGGTGTGGTGACGTGCACCTGTGATTGCAGCTACTTGGAAGTCTGAGGCGGAAAGATCACCTGAACCCAGCAGGTCAAGGCTGTAGTGGCCACGAGTGTGCCACTGTACTCCAGCCTGGGTGACAGATTCCAACATACACACACACAAACAGAATTGAAAGCTGGGGCTCAAACAGATATTTGAATACCCATGTTCATAGCAGCATTATTCAGTATAGCCAAAAGGTGAAAACAACCCATTTAATAGATCAACAAAATGTAGACAATACATACGTGGATATGATTCAGTGGTGTGCCCTGTGTTCCCCTGGTTCTATACTACATTAAGATGTTCTTTAGGACAGACAGAATGGAAAGTATATTGGTGTTCTCCAGAGAGCCAGAACCGAGAAAGTATATATAGATGTGGGAAGAGGGATTTATTAGAGGCCTAAGAACCCATTATGGAGGCTAAGTCCCACAACAGACTGTCTGCAAGCTGGAGACCCTGTGATGCCAGTAGGGTAGCTTAGTCCCAGTCTAAAGACCTCAGAACCAGAGAAGCTGACGGCGTAACTGTCTCAGGCTGAAAGCCTGAGAACCCAGGGGGCCACTGGTGTAACCTGGAGTCCAAAAGTCAAAGAGCCTTGGAGTTCTTATGGCCTTGGACATGAGGGTTGTATCTCAGCATCAGGGGAGAAAGGAAATGCCTTTTTTATTTTCTCCAGCCTGCAGCTAACTGGATGGTGTCCACCCACATTGAGGGCAGATCTTCTTCTGCCCTCATATGCCAGTCTTCCACTGACTCATATGCCAGTCTCCTCTGGAAATACCTTCACAGATGAACCCGTAAATGATCCTTTACCATTTCTCTAGGCAATCCTTAATCTAGTCAATCACTACAGGTGTGCACAACCATGCCCCAGTAATTTTTTTTATTTTTTGTAGAGACAAGGTCTCACTGTTTCCTGGGCTGGTCTCCAACTCCTGGACTCAAGCAATTCTCTCCCCTTGGCCTCCCAAAGTGCTGGGATTGCGAGCATGAGCCACCTCCCATGGCAGTCAACACATTCACTCTTAAACAGTAAACTGAAAACTGCTTGAGGACAAAGTGCTGGTTGAAGGGAAAAGTGACTTCAATCTCAAGGGACCACACCTTCCTCCCGGACTGTCTTTATAATGACTCAGAGACAGGGAGGAGTACCTGATGGTAATGGAACTTGTTTTATAGATAGTATCCATTGTAAAACCTAAGAATGGTACTTGAGATCTTTTTCAAACTTTGTACTCTGACAGATCCCAACTCTCACTAGGCCAGAACACCAGGAAGTCAGTTTAATTGAGGCCATCTCTCAGAAATTGGCTTACCACGGTAAGACAGTCTCCACCCAGCAATATCAACACCAGTCAGCAGTCCCTATCCCTCTGTCTACCTCCTCCCCTTTAAAAACCCTATTCTCTAAGTTTTCTGGGAGGTGGATTTGAGAGATTCCACCATTCTTCTCGCTTAGGTGCTTTGGGATATTAAAAAGTCTTTCTCCACTGTGATGGCTGCATCAGTTTTGGTTTTTCTGGGCAGCAGGCACAAGAACCCAGTTCAGCTGTAATATGAGATGACTAAATCACAGAATTTTTAGAAAGCCCCATGGAATAGCAGTTAGATGCACAAGCTCTGACGCTGGAACACAGGGAGTAGTAACCAAGTCCTAGCTCTATAATGTTGAGTAAGTTGTTTTTATCTCCCATGCCTCAGTTTCCCATGTGTAGATGGAGATATTGTCAGGGTTGTTGTGGAGATCAAATGAAGTATGTTTAGTGCTTAGAACAGTATCTGGCACATAGTAAGTGCTCAATTAGTTACTATTATTGTAAGCTAGGGTTTAAACTGGAAAATATGTAAAGCCTTCAGAATATAGTCGCTGGCATGTAAATGATTTTTAAAAAGATACAATTTTTGATAACAAGCTACTATGCTTTATTTGAAATAATTTGGATTTGTAGGGTATGCTTTGAGGAGCCCAATGGGATGAAAATCAACTATTTTAGAGGCAAAAGGGTTTCTTCATAATCAGTTATACTGCTTTATTTTTAAAAAAGGTAAGTAGGAGAAGAGGAAGGTAGTCACTTTTGATTATCGCCTTGGCACAGCAAAGTAACTGTGGCCTGAGACACTTCTTACCTCATTTTTCACTTACAAGGTATAAGAGAGAATGAAGTGCCCCACGAATATCATTAATATTAAAAACAAAAGATGCATCTGCTGCCTCATTGGTCTTAGCAGTAACTGCCAGTGTTTACGTAGCATATTGGCATCTGTCTTCTCAGCAAGCATTATCTGTATTTATTTATTTATTTTGCGGTGGCTCATG